GTTTATGTGCTACTAAAATTTGAAAGTATAATTTAAGTGTACCAATTACTTAATAAAAATGTGTCTCCACTAAATAAAAAATAGACTCAAAACACGCAATGATACCCTCACGAATCCAATATATTCTTTTGTTGATCTTCCCTATCTTCTCTTTGTCTCCCTGACTCTTCTCATTGTTGTCCCTAATAATCCCCAATTCATCCCATAATAAACTATATAATATATATGCAATTAAAAAACACCTTACTTTTACTTCCGATGACATGTTTTCTAAAGAAAATGAGACTACCTTCTTTCAAATAATGAAGAAGATCATAAATAATTGCTTATAAACATTACTTAAATATGATACTCCCTCCATCCACAAAAGTTACACCTATTACTTTTGTCACCAAGACCAAAGAAAAACTAAATCATCTTGTATGTTACTAAATCAAGGAGTAAATGCAAGCATGCAACCAATGAGTATTTAGATGACTTCTTGGGTTCTAATCAAACATTTAATTTATCTCCTCATTTAAGTCTTGAATGCATAAAGACTACAAATAGGAATAACTTAATTGGAAAAAGTCAAATGTGAAATATATCTAACTTTTGTGGATGAAGGGAGTATAATATAAAGGTAATAGGTTAGAAAATTATAAAAATAATTAATGCCGATGAAAAAAGATCTATAGAGAAATCGTGGCAGATGTTCTCTCAAACTAATATTTCGCTTTTATAAGTCTCTCAAACTTAGTGTACGATGCATACCTATGTGAATGCGCGGGCTACCTTCCTAGTTTTTTTAAATGTTGTAGTTATTGAAAACAATATTCTCAAAATAAACATTCGAACATTTAGATTTGTTGAGACTATTTCTTTCTTTTATCTGCCATAGATAGCTTGTACCATGGCCGTATAGCTCTTAGGTTTATAACATGTAGTTGGTGGCACAAACATACATAGAGTCCTGATAATGAGTCTTGTGAATGTGCATTAATTGGGTCAAAGTTAATAAGCTTGGAAATCATGTACATGTTTACACTGGTGGAGAAAGGGGCTTTACTCCCGGTTCGTAACCCCCTATAGTCCCGGTTTTCAAACCGGGACTACCAATCCGGGACTAAAGATCAATATATCTTTAGTCCCGGGTGAAAAAACCGGGAGTAAAAACACATCTTTAGTCCCGGTTGATGTTACTAACCGGGACTAAAGATAGAGCCTTTTTAGCCCCGGTTGGTGTGGACTAAAGATAGAGAGATCCGGTTGTCTATTATTATTTTCTTTTCTTCATTGTGTTTTTAATATATTGATTTCACTGCATCCCCATCCCAAAATCCCAAATAAATTATCCCCGAATCCTCATATCCCCAAATCGGGATATTCAAATAGATCACAAAATCTTAAAACAAAATTACATCACAACTTCTACAAAATTCATCACAAATACATCACATATTCACGGACATCACACAAAAATCAAATACACAGATCCGAATCACAAATTCTTCAAAAAAAAAAAAGAAAAAAAAAATTGTCAGCCTCTGCCGCGCCAGCCGCCGGCGCGCCGCCCACCGCCGCCCGCGCCTCCGCCCCACCGCGCCGCCGCGAGGCCGCCGGCCGCCTAATGGGATGATGGGGAGGGAAGGAGAGGAGTTAGAGAAGTTAGAGAGGAGGAAGAGGAAGGGATGATGGGGGAGGGAAGGAGAGGAGCTAGAGGAGAGGAGGAGGAAGAGGAAGAGATGGGATGAAGAGATAAGGTCAGTGGAGGAAGAGGTGAAGAGATAAGGCTGCCCGTCTCGTCCTCCTCGATCTCGCATATGCCTCGTACTCTCCGCCACGATCTTTTATTCCGATTGGTATTACTAACCGGGACTAAAAATAGATCTTTAGTCCCGGTTGGTAACACCAACCGGAAAAAAAGATGTCTATTATCTTTAGTCCCGGTTGGTGTTACCAACCGGGACTAGAAATAGATCTTTAGTCCCGGTTGGTAACATCAACCGGGACTAAAGATTAAAAAGCAGCTCTAAACTTTTGAACCGGGACTAAAGATAATCTTTAATCCCGGTTTTTATTGTAACCGGGACTATTGTGGATTTTGGCCAACCGAGCAAAGATGGTTTCTCCACCAGTGTTAGGTTGTGAGTCGATGTCAATGTCATTTTCAGATAAACAAATTAGTAATCCCTGAAATGTTGGGTGACAGCACTGTCATTTTCACTAGCGTGGGATGGTGAAAGCGCGTGTGTAAGGCGAGGCACGAGTTCATCATTGTGATAGGGAAAGGACATCAGGAAACGGGTGAGAAAGGCGTAGCGAGGGTGGAGTGCGCTGGTGTGACAGGGAACTGCGGGGGATATTAATTAAGTTGCATTGCATCAATCGGCTCTACTCAAGAGTTTAAGGTGGTGTTTGGATCCAGAGACTTAACTTTAACTTTAACTTTAGTTCCTGTGTTTAGACACTAGTTTAAAAGTATTAAATATAGACTACTTACAAAAACTAATTCAATAAATGAAAGCTAATTCACGAGACAAACTTTTTAAGCCTAATTAATCTATAATTAGAGAATGTTTACTGTAGCATCACATAGGCTAATCATGGATTAATTAGGCTCAATAGATTCGTCTCGCGAATTAGTCCAAGATTATAGATGAGTTTTATTAATAGACTACGTTTAATATTTATAATTAGTGTCCAAACATCCGATGTAATAGGGACTTAAAAGCTTTAGGCCCATCTAAACAGGGCCTTAGAAATGGAGGGCATTTCATTTACTTTGTGTGTAAATTGTATGTAAATTCACTCAAAATGATAGCGAAAAGTACTACACTTTCTAGTGCACTTGTCAGTACTTCAGACACACGTAGATACCAAAATTTAAGCTACAAAATTTGACCATCTTGGTACCTCCGAAAGACTTTATTTATACCCCAACAAGGGTACTTTTGTACTAGATCTTGCTGGCTGATGCACAAATCTAGATTAAATAGGTTTTGGGCAAAAAAAAAATAATAATAAGTGCGCAGATCTAGATGAGACCCAACAACCAGCAAATTCAACAATATTTTAGAAAAAAAAATCAGTATCCAGATAAATCGAGAAATACTAAATGGAGTGCTTTTCATTACTAAAGTGAACACAAGTTTTTAGTGTATAAAACAAATTTGATGCCATAGAATCATATTTTTGTTTTTTTTCCTACATTGAAGTATTTTTTATGGAATTTTAGAAGTAAAACCACCCTCCTCTATGCATCATGGCCAGTAAAAAAAATGACGTCTTCAAAAGTCAAAACCAATTAATTAATAAGTAGACTTTTTTTTGTTATAGCGCGCTGTTACACCAAATTAAATCGATTAATATTTCCTTTAGCTTCATAACAAATTTTCATATAATTTTCACAGGACTGGTACTCTTATGGCAAAATGGTGGCAGAAATCACAGCAGTAGAGCAAGCCTCAAAGAGAGGGATACACCTGCTAGTCATTGTTCCTCCGGTGACAACAGGCCAGATGTTGCAACCAACAACAAACCTGAGCTCCCACCATTTCATCCATTACCTGAATGGAACCAAGAAAGATTACCCGAACGCTGTTGCAGCATACGTTGATGTGCGGGATGTAGCGCGTGCACATGCACTGGTGTATGAGAACCCAGAAGCGAATGGACGTTATCTTTGTGTTGGTGCCGTGCTTCACCGGTCAGAGCTTCTTCGGCTGCTGAGAGAGCTCTTCCCACACTATCCGATCCCCACCAAGTAATAAAACTTCAATATCTTCTCCCAAAGATTTTGAAATACTTCTTGAAGAAATCAATCACATTGCATAGCTATATAGCTCAGATTTTATTGAAGTTGATAGAAATTAATTTGCAATTTACTAATTGTATATCTTTTTTTGTTATTGCTAGGTGTGATAATAAGAGTAGACCGTTGATCAAACCTTACAAGTTCTCGAACAAAAGGCTGAGAGACCTTGGCCTCGAGTTCACTCCCATAAAAGAAAGCCTCTACAATATGATCTTAAGTTTACAGGAGAAGGGGGACCTACCTACTACTGTTGTACCTCGTGCTTCCCTTTAGAATATAAGAAATTCGATCGGTTTAATTGCAACCTTCTTGTACTTTTTAATTGGGTTGGTTGAATCTAAATGGAATACTATCAGTCCTATACATGTGGGACACAAATTTAATATATGTAATAATTCCAATAATAAATGGCACATATGCCCGCGGTTGATTTGTCACTAGCTGCTTCAACCTGCTTGGCTCATTTCAGGGTGTCGCACGAACATGATAGTTTCATGTTATAGTCGCTCTTCAGAGAGTTTCGCTCCACGTGGTTTGCCTATGTAGAATGAGAACATAACCTTGTTCATTTTGATAGAGTCTAGGGAGGTACCAAGTTATTTTTCGTGCCACTATCTTATTGTATAGATAAACAAAGCAAACTTGCCCACGCATAAGTTCTTTCCTAACCAAAGTCAAATTAGCATTAACGTGACATATCTAATGCACATAAAATTGTTGGAAGTGATAAGCACCATGAATTAAACGTAAAACACAAAACCACACCGAAATCGACTCCTCTCTGTAGTTTACTAGTTTGACCGCGTGATAGCCAGTCTAACCAGACCTATTTTATCAGTATATGTGCCTCATACCGGTAAGACCACTTTGCATACCGATCATAAAAACATTAAACTCCTTGATTCAACTGCTCCTCATACCAGTTGGACCAACCAAGGCTGGTCAGTCCAACCACCATCCACCAACCCGTCTAACCAACCTCACCTTTCCAGACTGACCTAGAGCACAACTCCGGTTATACCGCCGATGCCCTAACACTTTGCTACTATAAACATCACTTTACAACAACCACAAGAATCATCATCACAACCATTTGTTCATGATGAAAGTACTTTCACATCACTTATCTTCATGTACAAATTTTCTATGGTAATCCACATTTTAAATTGTACAGATCCCTTTAAACACCACAAATAATATTTGTTGGAAATGCACTATTGTATGTATAAACTTTATGGCAACTCAAAAGTTTTCACTTTCATACATGTGTCATAACTCTTTTATCGTGCTGATGGACCACTAGACATGGTTGGCAGTGGAATCCTCTCCAGGCGATCTATTTCAAATATGGTGTTAGTTTTGCTGACATGGTCAATTGAGGGCTCGGCAACACTGCCAGCGCGACCATGCTCGAGGTCTTGGCATTCTTGCAGTTTTGCCACTACATCAGTCATCATAGGCCGATGTGCCGATGCCTGTGCAGTGCACATTAGTCCTATCTCTGCAACCTTCCAGACACTGTTGACATCATAGACACCGTGCATGCGTGCATCCACCACACCCTCGATGTTTCCACATTGCATGCGCTGTTGTGCCCAATGGATAAGGCTGATTGGCTCCGGGGTACGAAGGATGGGTGACTTCCCCGTGACCAGCTCTAAAAGCACCACACCAAACCCGTATACATCACTTTTGGTTGTTGGCATCATTGTTGCGTGATACCTACAAAAAAAAAGGAAACTAATGTGGTTAGTGGCCATATTCTAGAGTATACCTTTGGTGGTAAGACTTTGAATATAACAGATGAAGAAGAATTTGGATATGACATACTCAGGATCAATGTATCCAGGTGTTCCAACAAGTATACTTGTTGATACATGTGTGTCACTATCACGGTTGAATGCCTTAGACAAGCCAAAATCCGCGATCTTAGCCTCCAAGTTCGTGTTAAGTAAGATGTTTGTTGCCTTGACATCCCTGTGAACGACGGGTGGGCTGCACCCTTTGTGTAGGTACTCTAGCCCTGCAGATGATGGGAACAGTAAATGTTCTAGATCACATTTGAGAACTACAGAAGTAGCAAATTGTCTCCACATATATTTGGGGTACTTACCTTGTGCAGATTCAAGCGCAATGCGGAGTCTCTCTGTCCAGGTTAAGTTCCTCTTGTTGTGATCTCTTCCTGCATGTAGTATGTCAACATAATGAATCTTGTTGTGCTCAAATTAATGATCATAAGGAAGAATAAGATTGTTACTTGATACCTGCAATATGCTCTTCCAGGGTTCCTTCAGACATGTACTCATAAACAAGTGCCATGTACTCTCCATCCTTGCAATAACCAATCATCGAGACAAGATTCTTATGATGAATCCGGGTCAAAATCTGAGCCTAAATAAGCAATAATGAACAATGATTATTTTCCTTGTCCTAGAAAAAAAATGTTGGGAGGACTTGACATAATCAGATCAGGCTAACAAAAAATGTTAAATTTTGAGTATATTTTGACTAAATTTAGAGCCATTTCAACAAAAGTGAACCTAATTTGATTATTCAAAAAGTTTTGTTTTTGGGGAGGGAGGGGGGGATGGGGTGGGGAGGGAGGGAGGGGAGGGGGAGTAGAAAGATATAATGACATTATGCCGATTTATTTCTAAGATTCTTACTCATGCATCACTAATCAAATTTCAATGAGGGATTTCTTGGCCCAAGTTCATTTCAAACAAGATACAAAGACAAACATAATTGAACAAATTCTACCTCTGTAAGGAACTCTTTTACACCTTGATTTGACGATTGAGACCGCAATTTGACTGCCACTTGAGTGCCCTCCTCCAAAATACCATAGTAGACATACCCAAACCCTCCTTTGCCAAGCACTTGCTCAAAGTTGTTTGTTATCATCTGTAGATCCTTATATGTGAACCGACGGTTTTCAAACTGCATCGAACCATGTCCATAGCTGCCACTTCCGTGAGAATGGCTTGTTGGCTCATTGTGTGGATTGATAGTATTATTTGCTGAGCCTTCAATTTATAAGTAAAAAAGAACAGAACTAGCATTAGTTGATTTCAGGGGGATAGGTAAGATTTAGAATTGTGAACCATACAGCCAACCTATTTATGCCAAGGCTTACCTTTGGTTTTTCGTCTTAGCAAGCAAAATAAAACTAACACTAGTATCACCGTGACTGCAACTACAGGGACAGAGATATAGATAGCTAGTTTGGGCTTCCCATTTGGAGAGGGACAAGTGTCATTGATGCAAAGGTCCGGATTATTGTCATATCTAACAGAAAGATGATAAAATGATGCTTTTTAATAAATTTTTCATGTATAATATAATTTTGAACTCACGTTGCAATCAACAGAAAGGAAAGGGAGAAGGGGATGACCTTAGATCGAGGGACTTATCATGCACTCTTTTGAGTAGTTCAGAGGGAATTGATCCACTGAGCTGGTTTCCTGTCAAATCTCTAGAAAGGAATCACATGCTATTGGTGTGAGAAAAAAGGATGATTCATGGGGGTAATAAATAATTTAAACAAAACTTGAAAGACATACAGCACTGTCAGTGAGGATAATTGTGACAGGGCCTTAGGAATTGAGCCGGTCAATAAGTTGTAAGAGAGATTCCTGCAAGATACTTATACACAATATAATGATTCCATTTTTTTGTTTCAAAAATAGAAATGCCTGATTGGAGAAGACAGAGAACACTGTACGTACAAGTATTGGAGAGCATTGAGATTGCTGAAGGAAGATGATATATCCCCATGCAGACCATTGAATGAAAGGTTTCTGTAAATTTCTCGGTGTATGTCAATTATACTTTCACTAACTACCTTGATTCTAGAGTACTCTAGAAAATCTATTCCCTCCATGCATGTGGATAATGCTGGTTAGTTTGGACAGGGCTGATGTCAAACTCTAGATTGATAACACACGTTGTTTTGGATAAGGCTGATGTCAAGCTTTAAAGTCTTTTACTATGAATAATTTCTAAAATAGTATCAAAAGTTCTTAAAAAGTAATATCTTTGTTGATATTTCTATATGTATTATAATAGAAAATAGTGGTCAAATTATTTTTTAACATCATGTCCTTGTCCAAAATGATAAGTATTATCAACCCACATAAATTTTTCTCCACTTTATCTTGACAGTGATAATTTTCAAAATTCGTTCATGTCTGATCTAAGGATTGTAAATTTAGGTTTGTTAAACATAAGAGAAAATTATGTATGTACCCTTAATATGTCACCTTAATCCCTTTGATGCCCATATTGCCCCCTAAATCATTACCCCCAGGGCCCCATGGGAAAACCTCCTGTTGAGTTCCAAACGGACGCAAAAAAGAAGAAACAGAAATTACAAAATATTAGAACTTTTAAGATTTTCCATAATGTTATCCTGAATTTTAATAACAAATGTAATTCTTTTACTGAAGTTAAACTAAATTTGATGTGAAGCAATTAAGGGGTAATATAGGGCTTGTTTGGTTTGAAGCCAATTTTTTCCCTACCAAAATATTAGTAGTGCCAAAAGTTGGCGAGTTTTGGCACTACCAAATTCTATAGTATTGAATTTGAATTATTATAGGCAAAATTTGATACCAAACCAAATCTGCATTTGCTACTATTGAAGTTACCAATATTTCGGCAGGGCAAAATTGGCATCAAACCGAACAAGCCCGCTAAATTCGATCAGGAAAAGTTTTCCCGCAGTTTGTCTTTGAATGAGGCCTTTCCCGACCGATCTTCAGTTAGAGATTGTGTCATGGTGTAGTAAGATACTCAGAACACAAGGACACTTTAGGAAATGGAATAAAAATCAAGAACATACAAAAATCAAATGAAATATTAGGGGCATACTACAAGGAATTAATTTTCTCCAAATGTAATAAGTCTTCTAATATGTACTTACACGCCTGTGATTGTTGGAGGGCTGGAAATAGCATAGCTACAGGTCAACCAGTCCCATGCTAGTGTCTTTGGAACACATGGGTCACCCATCCAGTTCTGCTTCACCTGATACTGCTTCTTGATCGCCGTGATACCAGAAACTGTGTACAGGGTGCAGCTTATTTAGTCTTGAGCAAGATGTAAGTAGATAATAATGTATTTATATGTACCATACGCCTTTTAGGACTACACTGCGAGGTAGTATGCTAAATTGTTAAAATGCTACCTCTTCGATCCATTCTTAATTAACAATGAGGTAATTAGAGAGATGCCACACATAACAGGTTCCTAATTTTATTGCCCTTGAGGGAATATTACATGCTTAAGACCTTGCTCAGAGCATTTGGAGGGGAATAATTTCACACTTATTAAGGCGTGAAATTAATGCTCCTGAACTAATCCCTTCCTCATGCCCTGTTCGGTTAAGAGAGGATTGAAACGGATTGAGCGGGAATAATACCACCTCACAAAAGGTATGGAATAAATTCCCTCTAATTCATTCCTCTTAGGGATATTTAACCGAACAATATATAAGCATTAAATTGTGATACTGTACTTCTAAACCAGGGAGGTATAAAAAACGAATTTTCTTGGATGACCTTGAATATTCACCAATTCCCATACCAGAATTTTGCCCAGTGCATTTGATACCACTGAGTTTCTATACTGGCCCCTCACATGTTAATTTTGTTAGTTGACTGTTGGTAGACCGTTAAATTTTCCTAAAATGATCACATTTCCCTAATTTATGCCACGATTTTATAAGCATCCTCACTAAATAAGAATTTTGAATTATAAGAAATATTAGTGTGACTGAAATACACGTTAACTAGTATTTTGAAAATTTGCATTGAACTTGAAATGTAAGATTTTAAATAAATTAAACAAATTTGAGCATGGATGAAATAGTGACCAAAAGTGAACATATGATTATGGAAAAATCCACAATTTTCAAATTGAATATTCATTCAAAAAGTAATTTTCAAATTTGATAGAGTTTCATAAATATCTAAAATTCCAATGGTTCTTTTATTTCATCCATTACTTATTTTCATAACGTGAATAATTCCTACATATCACATTTATAACTTCATTTCTAAAAACCAAACCATCCATTCTTGATCCACTAGCAGAATGTGTATATGTAAGATTCAAAAACAAAACTTAGGGCTATGTAAGGGATCAATTAAAGCTAAGTGGCATAGAAGGGATAGCGTGAAATTTGAGGGGGCACGAAGGGGATTTTCTCTATCAAAATATACGATGAAAATTGATATACATCTTAAAATACATTAAAAAATCTCAAGGTTTTTATGCAGTCAAAGAGGTATAACAGAAAATAAGTTAGCTTGAAACAGAAAATATACAATGAAGAGGCGCTAGCTTGAAACAAATGATTACCTACCTGATCTCCAAACAAAAAGTACTAGAAGATATTAGCACATAAGTAAAATAAGTTTTCAACACTTCTGTTGACACATTTCTTTCTCAGCCATGTGTGGATATCTTTGCAGGTACAATAGTAGGCTATAAGCCAGCTATAACCACATATCGAGAAAAAAAGAGAAGAAAGCGAGCTGTAGATTTGTAGCCAGCTGCAACACAGACTCCAAGACGTTATGTATGTATAAGAGGTGGGACCGGGTATTAATGGTGTAGTATATTTTTATAGATAACTATTATATGAATGGACTATTAGATTAGCTATAGATGATTTGGAGCCAGCAGTTGGCTATACTATTAAACTTCTCTTAAGTGGTACTGAAGTAGGAGTAGCCGAATGGTATTGATTATCTTTCGGTAGCTTTAAGGCGCTTCAAGCATTCATAGCAGCGTGGAATAGTGGATTGAATTAATTAGCTAAAGAATGAGTTCTTTTTGCTCATCATGCACGTTATGAGCTTAACTCTTTGCATGGATAAAGTTTTTATAAGAATTATGTGCTTAATTCTTTTTTTAACTTTCTTTCCTTTTATTAATAAATTTTTTTTAACAGCGGAGGCCTCTCCTACAGTGTTTCATTCAAAAAAAAAGTTATTTAAAGCCGCTTGTTTAAGATCCCGAATACACGAAACCACTGTCCAAAACCACCTTATGGGATAATATAAACAGTATTGCAAGGTTTGGTGGGTTGTATGCTCGGCTTTAAAGTTTAAGGTGCCAAATGAATTTCCATCTAAAGTTTAGGGTCATTTGGACTTTTTCCTATATAAAATTGTGTGTCAACAAATAAGAGCCGAGAGATGCACAGAATTACACGGTTACAACTTACTTGTGAGAGAGTTAGTAATCAAATAGTGGAGAAAAATGATTTAGAAAGCGCCTCTCATACTCTTTAAACTTTCATTTACTGAGCATAACAATGTTGATACTTATAAATATACGTACCATCCTTGCCGTCAGTGGGCACATTGGTGGTAGGGATGACCGAGAAAATCTCCAGGGCGTTGATGATGGGCGGCAACGTCGAGTTGGCGGTGGCACGGAACGTGAGGTTGTACCGGCTTGAGCCCCGGAAGGGCACGGTGTTGAAGGAGGCATCGGCGTAGAGGTAGTCCGGCGTCATGCCAATGTCCAGCCACTGGTCATTCAGGCTGATATTGAACGCGCGAACGGCGTTGCCCTGGACGAGCTGCAGCTCGGAGAAGTGCATAATGGCGATGTACCCCGGCGGAGGGTCGCCGGCGGCAGCGCTCGGATCGGCGGTCCAGTAGAGTTCGATGCTATCGGAGGCGTTGCGCGGCGTGATCGCCGTCTGCATCACCGCCGACGGCGCCTCGAACAAGTCCTTTTCCACGTTCTGCACTGTCTTCGTCGTCGATACCTCCACGTATCTCATCGTGTCGATCCATGGCCGCCATCCTCTGTCGCGCGGATCATCTGGGTACCTGTATGTTTGATCAGTTTTAAACGAGGAATTAGCATGCCTCGTCAAATTGTCCCAAAAGACTTCTTGTTTAGGTGAATACTGAATGTCTTTTTACATGGAAGGAGTATACATATATTAAGTACACTTAAGGCAGCGTTCGATTCACGAGGTTATTGGTTGATTTCCGGCACGCAAAATGAGATAGGTTATGTAACTAATCGATTATTAATTACAAACTTGAGAAATTGATTTATTTGATTTTTTAAGGACCTTCTATCAATACTAAAAAATATTTTTCCAAACAGTCAAAACCTATTCTTGCGTATGATTGAGCTGACCTGTCCGAAATTATCTGCGAAAATCACTATTTTCTCATGCGGGTGGTGCACCTGAACGAGATAATCCAATTTTTCGCGTGCGGGTAATTATGTCATTTGCATGCAAAAATAAAATCCCCCCAAAAAAAAGAAAATGGAAGTCTGTCCCCGCCGTAGCCACTGGATCTGTGTGAGGCATAGCCCCGCCGCTGTCACTGTAGCCCCTCGCCCTCCTGCTGCCGCCGCCGGATCCGCCGCTCCGCCTTGTAGCCTGCCACGGTCGCCGCCTTGAATCCTCCCCGCTGTTACTAGCGCTTTATCCATCGCGGCTAAGGTTGAGGATGTCGGATTCGCCGAGTTGCCTTAAGCCTCCACATGGTCGCTGCCTTGAATCCCCCTCACGGTCGTCGGTGCTGGATCCCTCGCTCAGATTAGAGAGAGGGAGGGGAGGAGTGGTGATAAGGAGGGACAGAGGAGTGTGAGAGTAGGGAGAGGAGAAAAAGGAGTGGTGAAGAGAAAAAATGGTGTGGGAAAAAATGTGGGGCCCACGTGATTTTCATGTAGCCTAGATGTGAAAATATATTTTCTCATACGGTCACCTAGCTATGAGGTCCACCTATGAAAATAGATTCATTTTTGCATGCGTGTATCTTGATAGGTTAGCATGCGAAAATTTATTTTTGCACGCCGATTTCTTAAGGAGTCATATGTGAAAATAGAGATCGATTTATGCAGACGCGACCAGTTACGATCCGCTTGTAACTATAGGGGTCCTCGTACAGAAAAAACCATTTTTGGAGGAGTGTAAATACAATTTTTTTGGGAAAACGCCCCACTTAGGCTGTGTTCAGTTCCACGTCAAAAGGAAGTTTGAAAAAATTGTAACGATATGACGGAAAAGTTATAAGTTTGTGTGCAGGAAAGTTCGATGTGATGGAAAAGTTTGAAGTTTGAAAAAAAAAGTTGAAATCTAAACATGGCCTTAGCTTAAAAGTAGTTTGAGAAACATTCTAATTAACGAAAAACGAGAAACGAGGGAATTGTAATTCGAGGTTGAAGGATAGAAACCTAAGATCACAGCTGCCGCCTTCCGGTACCTTGCAAAGTACCGTAAAAGATTCCCTGAAGTATGAAGTCAAAAGCAAAAATCTTAGCCTCAGTGCCTCACCAGCTCACCTGATGAACGTATCAGTGGGGCCAAAGTTTACCCTGCTGACCATGACCAGGCCTTGCGTGGCATTCGCTTGCGGGTAGAGAGAGTTCTTGAGCGGCCTCAGGTCAAGGCTGGAGATGAAGGGCGTCCCGGCGCCAGTGTTGAGGAGACAGACCTGCATCGAGTCCTCCGGCACAACGATGATGGCCTCCGCCGTGATCGAGGCTGCCGCATCCGTGATGTTCACCGTCCTCCAGAAGTTGACGCCGGCGTAGAGGTCGAACACCGGCGGCCTTCGGAGGCCGTCGTAGTTGCCATACATGAAGCTGGCGCGGACCAGGTACTTGAGCCCCGGCACCAGCGACCGCAGCGTGTAGCAGCTCCGCGGCGCGGCGCCGGCGGGGAAGCTGCGAACGTTGTCGAAGATCCTGGAGTTCGCCGGCGACAAGTACTCCGCCGATATGTTGTTGTTGGTGCCGGCGTCGGTGAAGGCGGCGTCCGGCGAGTAGGACAACTTGGTGGCGTTGTCGACGTAGCCGGCCTTCCCTGACAGGCCGCAGTCTATGCTTATGAAACCGTTGCTGTCGGGCTGCCCGCGAGCTGCCTGTAGCAAGCCGCCGGCGACGGCGACGGCGAGGACGATGAGAAGATGTAAACATGACCTCGCGGCCATCTTCTTCACCACCGTCCAAGTTGTAGCTAGCTAGCTAGCTGCTAGTTGATGAAGTGAAATCGTACATATATATATGGAGTAGACTTACAATTTTTTTTTTTAAGCTAGCCTGTCTAAGACAAACTAGTATTAAAATTGCAAATGCTTCTTCCCGGTTTTGATGCTCGGCTAGGCTTTTAACATGTCAAAGCTCTAGTTATTGACGTTTGCACTTAAAGATGAGAGGTTAGAATGGTGGTCTAAGAAAACAACGACGACACTCTACTTCCACGCCTAAAACTAAGCTCTTTATGTAACAAATATTTAAGTGCAAAAATAAGGTCTTTTATGACGAAGCCACTATGACCCTTCGTTCCAAAATAGCAAATTCAAGCATTTTAAATTAATTATCCTATAATATAATAACTTCTACATGGTCATTTCAATCAATCATAACTGCTATTCGATTTTTGCACCTACTTCCTCGTTTTAATAAAATCAGAACTACTATAATTTAATTTTAAAATTTACTTATCCTCGTCTATATTTTAGGATAGAGATAGTAACATTATGGCTATGATAATTTCTATACCATTCCAGTGTAGTCCCATTGTTTTGGTCATAGCTAATTATAGGGTTAATTTGATCTTGTCATTGCAAATGTGTCTATTCAGATAAATGTCATTACAATTCATCTATTTGTAGCCGTGCCATTTAAATTTTACAAAATTGAAATCATGCCATCGCCGCCACATTTTTCATCTTCTTCCCCATCTGCACATAGGGCCCACCTGTCAGATTCATTTCCTTCATCGATCCTTCCCTCTTCTCTTTTTTTCTCCCATCTATCTCCACCACTTCTCAGCCTCCTCACCACCAATCCATATCCTCTCCCCGCCGCCTGCAGCAACAGGCCACCAGCGTCGGCGCACGTCAACGCCGCGTGGCCCATATCGGCCACCGCCCACCGACAGGCGGTGGTGGTCGCGGCCATGGACGTCACGACTGAACAGCAGGCCCCCCCCTCCTTGCTACCCGAGGGCTCGAAGTGGTGATGGTGGTGGAGGTTGTGGAACATCATGCCGAGCTTGTTCTTGAACCTCCTCATCAGATCCACTCTCCTCTCCAGGCGTTCCTGGCGGCGAAGGTGGTGTTTGATCCTCGTGATACTCATACTCGTACTCCGCCGGCGCATTGCCCCGCGATGACGATGGCGATGGCTCCCCCGACGAGGGAGGAACCTGAAGCGGCGCCCCAAGTCGGCTTTGGTGGGCAGCTGCTACTGTACGTGCTGCGCCGGAGTTGATCCGGTTCATAGCTCGCCGTGGCGACCGGCTTGGCCGGCCCATGCTGAGGCTGGCATGCAGCATTGTCATCGACATTCTCCTTCCCCCCTCACTGCTGCAGGCTCTTGTGTTCGACTTCACCAGCTCGGTGTAAGCAGAGCTCAGTGAGGTCCCGGTTCGGCCCGATATCGATGCGGCTGCGTACCGTGCTAGCCGCATTGGTCGACGCGATGAGGACAGCTTCATCGTTGCCGCACCATGTCCGCCTCGCTGAGAGCCACGGCCCACGGCACGACACCATGCTCCTGGTCAAATCGGAGTCCCAGCCTCTCGAAACGGCGCGTCGAGGAGCTCTCCGCTCCCACGCGTGGGCACGGGTGGGCAGCGACAACCATCGGCCGCGTGGCCTGTTGCTGCGGGCGGCAGGGAGAGGATGGATTGGTGGGGACGAGGCTGAGAAGTGGTGGAGTGATGGAGAAAAAGCGAAGAGGGGAGGATGGAGGAATAAGATAAATCTGACGGGTGAGTCTCAAGTGCAGATGGGAAAAAAAAAACGTGACGGCGATTACATGGTTTTAATTTTGTAACATTTGAGTGGCACGGTTTCGAATAGACGAATTGTAATGATATGTATCTGAATAGACACATTTGCAATAATATGGATCAAATTAATTAACCCCTGATTATAAGCTGTAATGCTTATTAAAAAATAAAAATAATTAGTGTATAAGCCAATGCTAAAAAAAATTGAAATCAATTGTAAAATTGAGATTTAAAATTTAATTTTTAGCATAAACTATAGAGAAAAAAAATGATGGAATTACTCCGCTCACAACTGTTAATACATTATTATGAAATAGTAAATGAATTTCCAACACTAAACAAATATATATGTTTTCGTGACTATAATACATCCCTAAAGTAGTACAATTTGTAATTCAGGAAGGTGATAGTGGGTCCACACCTCGCATAATCTAGTTCCCGGTAGCTTGATGCTGCTTAGTTTTTTTTCAAGACATGAAGCTGCTTAGTTAGTGGAGGACAGATGATGCTAATTAACTAATCAATTAGGTCACTAACTGACCAGGTAATTAAGCAAGCCGGCCCATTGATCGTTGGCTAACCACGTCAGCATGCTAGATGTATGTAAACACTTCGTTACATCGTAGCACGCTGAAAACTGTGATAAAGTCAATGACATAGTAAACAGACAGCACAAACCCGACAAGAACACAAGATCACTTGTGTTACGTGCATTAAAGTCAACGGTGAACATACGAAGCCAGCGTGCGCCGCCGAATTCAACTTGGTGATTGTGAAGGCCTGTTTGACTTCGAGTCTTGAATATGCGAATTCTAAAGATACTATTGTTGAATAACATTACCTGCCGGGGAAAACTATACATTTCCTGGGTCTATTCTATTCAATTTATATTTCACTAATATGAAAACGATTTGACGAGACGACTTGAATGGCCGAGACGGACGCCCCCCCAGAGCCTCTCGTTCCCCTCCTCCCTCTACAGTAAACTTCACAAAATTTCTCCCCTCTGGCCCCTCTTCCCCTTCGATTCCGGCGGTTTTCCGCCGGCGAGGGTTGGAGGAGGGGTCCGGCCACCTTCCCCTAGTAGTATTTAGTCAGGTTTGTCCTGTTTCTTTAGCAGTCTTGTGTCCTAGGGTTCGGCCGGTGATGTCTTCCATGGTGGCGGCCGGTGTTGTGGTTCTCGAAGGCGGCGGTGGTTGGAGATGGTGGCTTCGTGCCTCTTTGTTGCCGAATCGAAGCTCCGGTGGTGTAATCTTCCTCGCGCAAGGGTTCTGAAGGCTGGTGAAGTTTCCAGATCTAGGTGGAGGTGGAGGAGTTGATTCCGGCGAGACCGGAGTCCTTCTCTGCTGTGCTTGCGAAGCTGGTGCTTCTCGGTGGCTTCCCCTTCGGCTCCGGCAGCTACAGCAGCCGGCACGGCGCCTTCTCCGAGACTGCGGCCTTCGCCGGTGCGCGATTCGTCTGGCAGGAGTCGCTTGTGTTCTTGGAGGTTGTGCTGGGGCTAGCACCGGCGCGTGCGCTGTTCTCGGTGGTGCGGCGGTCGGCGTCCCCCTTCGTCGTGCTCCCGAAGTCAGCTGCGCCCATGCTTGTGCTGCCCTTGCCGACAGTCGACTGCTCCTAGCCGGCACCTTTGGGATTCTTGTGTTTGGGTGTTTGCTCTGGCCAGACTTGTGTGATTCCATGTTGCAGGTCTCCTTCTCCTTAGCCATCATCGTCCTCTCAGCAAGACAGAATCCTGTGGACAACTTCTCTATTCCCTCATTGCTGAAGGTTGGCTGGTCTACGATTTGGCCCTCTCTTCTGTTCCCTAGCAGCAGAAACCGCGATTGGTTTGTCATTCGGGTTGAGCTCGGACCACCTGCGCAATTTCGATTGACAGGGTTGTTGTTAGAGTTCCTCAGATTCAATGACGAACCTCGTGGGGATTCTTTGTTGAGTCAGGTGACGCTTACACCAATATCTTCGGCTCAGCAATCAACCTCGATCTGGTGCCGTTCCCGTGGAGGCAACCGAAGGGGATTAACGGTTTGTCAAGCGGTGTGCACTTCTCACGAGGCCCATGGTAGCAGTCGACGCGGTTTTAAGACGTTGTGGCTTTGCAGTAGTCACGACTCACCGCAGCTCCCTATCGGCTTGCTCCTTTTTCTGCTGTTTGGTTTCATCTGGAAGGCTGCTTCCGTAGTTTGGTTCACCCTCTCTTTTCAGGGTTGTCCCTTTTGCTTTCAATTTCTATCTTTGGTTGTGTACTGGGGTTTATCCCCTAACTCTGTCCTTGCTTAATAAAGTCATTTGTGTTTCAAAAAAAAAAATGAAAACGATTGTGGAGATTATGGGTACCCCATACCCACACGGCATGGTTATCGGACTAGCTATAGGGGATAACTTATATCTATAGAATATGTAACGGATCATGACTTGGGTATTACGTTTCCCTGTATATTATGGAACGGCCTAAAGTCCTGGTTTGATAAGATTGTAAAGTAGATTTAGGAAACCGATACCGTATTGGTTAAGATTTCTATCTTGTAATCCTGTCCCCCATCCTATATAAGGTGGGCAGGAGGCCCCCTAGGGGGCAGGAGCACATATGATCGTCAGATCTATAATACACCTCTCATTGAGAGGGCCTGAACCTGTCTAAATCCTTTGTCTCCACATCCATCCACTATTAGGTCTCGTGCGCTACCCGTTTTATTATTGCCGAATTCATGTTTCGACGGTTGGCGCGCCAGGTAGGGGTGCGTCGAGTTTTCCGTCGAAGTACGATGGAATCAATTTTCAGGAGTCGCCGGGTTCGTCTTCGCCTATGTAGCGTGAGATCCTCTGCCGTCGACGCCATCTTCTGATCAAATCAATCTACAGGAAGATATCGGGTTTGTCGTTCTAATCTATCGTCTTTAGATTGAAATCTAATCACAGATTGATGCCCTGGTATTTTTCTTGTTTTCATGTCTCGACGATTTGGCTATCCGCCGCACGTCGGGGAAAGCTATCCGCTGCCAGGACGATCGACGGGATTGGCCGCCGTACTGTACATCGCCATGATCTCGACCAATCCGCACATACATCTCGTCCCTGCTGGGGCTTGGCGCTCGCGTCCTCCTGGCCGGTTTCGAATCACGCGATCTGGGTCATCGCCAATAATGACCTGGCCGATGCAAACATGCATTTGTGCCGGACAAATCAAACATATCC